CCATATTAATTCCCACCTCCTTGGCTGAGGGGGGCAGGGTGTATGATTTCCACAGCCATGGGCTTTTGACCTGGTTTATAGGGTTTATAGGGTTCTGACCAGGTATTGTCCTGTGGAGTAACCCTTAAATCTAATAACTGTTGTTACAATACAAAACAAATGAACACATCTTGCATATCAGGTTGGTATTGTTGTTGGTAGAATTTCATAGTTGTGGTATACTGCTGATACCTTTTCTCTAATTCCACCCTTGAAGCCTGGATAGTACCTTCTGGCACTACGAAAGACAGCTATCAGGGAGGAAGATGCCAGGGGCCTTTGTTATTAACCAACATCTTTCTAATTGAATGCAGGGCTTATCCAATAAAGGGGAAATCATGATTGATACTGGAAACCTAACCAACTACCTGGGGATAGGGAATTAATGGATCTTAGAAGAGAATCTATAATAAATTCATAATGAGGTATTCTACACCGGGCATTGGGATTTTTGTTTAATAACCCACAGCTTCCAAGGCTAGCATTATTCAGCCTTACAGGGTATTTCCCTATAAATGTTTTTTGAGTTGGATATCTTATAATTAATTGAATTATAAAAATAGATTATAAAAATGTTCAACATCATTAAACACCTGAGAAATGCAAATAAAACTACTTTGTGAATTCATCTTATCCCAATCAGCATTACTATCATAAATAAACGAAAGGAGAACAAATACAGGTGATTGAGGAAAGTGACACCTGTACTCAGTGTTGGTGTGAGTGCAAAGCACTTTCTTTAGCCATTATGGAAGACAGTATGGAGGTTTCTAATAATGATTGAAATAAAACTACAGTGTGAGCCATTTTTACCTTCCTGGGCATATACCCAAAGGACTCTATATTCTACTACAGTGATTCTTGCTTAATGGTGTTCATTATTACTCTATTCATAATGGATAGGAAATGCAATCAGTCTCTATACCTAACAGACAATGAATGCATAATAAAAATATGGTACACATGTACAATGCAATTTACACAATTGTGATGGAGGAAGGTAATTGGTTAATTATAATAAACCAACTGCTTGGCCTCATAGCTTAGAACATAGGTGGGTGGAATAAACAGAATAGGATGCTGGGCGGAAGAGGAAGTGAGGTCAGACTCTGCTCTGCTTCCGGAGAGACCCGACAGCTCTTCTCTCTGGAGCAGAGACGCCATGCTCAGCTCTCCTGATAGCTCTGCTCTCTGAGGCACACGCCATGAAGCTCCAACCCAACATGGACATAGGTTAGAATCTTCCCGATAAGCGCACCTTGGGGTGCTTACGCACATTATTAGAAATGGGTTAGAACAATATGTAAGAGCTAGCCAATAAGAAGCTAGAGTCCATGGGCCAAGCAGTTCTTAAATGAATACAGTTTGTGTGTTGTTATTTC